ATCAGTTTATTTTGTTTACTAATTTGTTTATTAAGACAAAAAATATTAATAATAATTTATAGTTTTTTTATAATACAAGAAATATCGTACCGTTCGAAGTTTTCTCGTTAACCTCTGTAAAGCATTCGAAACATTTAATTTAATAATGCAATATTGTTAACTACCCATTTAAATAAAGTTACAAAGCTTTATTTAAATGGGTAGTTAACAATATTATCTTACTGATTTTTAACACAGCATGGGGTTACAAACTATGTCTAAGAAAACAGCCACACAAGGGAACTAAATCAAGCGACAATATTTTTAAATTAATAGTCACTTTTAGTACTTTATAGCTACTAAAACTTTTGACAGTTATGTTTTGAAACCAGCTACAAGCTTGTTCAACCTTCCGCGTACTTAATCTTTGGCGTCCGCATGGCGTGTCGGTATTGAGTGGTGGTGGGGCGTGGGGAGTCAATGCCTGCCCTGGGGACCGCCTCCCGAGGGAGCACAGGGGGACGAAAGGTTAAAAGGGAAAAGTTGGTGGAGACCGCTTGTTGTCGCTCGCGATCTTCCTGAACGTTCGATTGTTCAATTCGATTCGAGTCGTGGTCATTTCGATGTTCACTTGTTAACTACAATTGATAATACTGAATATTGCTAGTGTCGTTTAATGAAAGCTTCGAAAGTTTGCAATAAATTACAGCGTAGTTGTAGTAGCTAGTGTCGGGCTAGTATTATTACTGATAAAACTATTATTTATTTATTTGTATCATATACAACTTAACAGTTTGATAAAGATAAATAGATAAACAAAAAGATAGAGACAGGAAATTAGAGAGAATATCTCTTGTAATTATTATCATGTCAGATAGGTATCATATAGAAAATTAATTTCAATTTTCGTTGCAATAGTATTTAAAATGTTTCATATAGGACCTGCTTTTTGGGTTATGGTTTAAAAAATCTTCTAATTAAAACTAATATAAATTCTGTATCGCGATTGTCGGACCAGAACCTGAATGTATAAAGAATGTTAGCGCAATAAATTATTCTGCTATAGTTTTAGTTATTTAAAAGAGAACATCTTATGCAAATAAACATAGTATCTTGGGCGCGGAGGATGAGGCGGGTGGCTTCAAGTGTTTCACCCTGCGCCACCCCCACACCGCGACTTAATGCCGTAGTAGATTTTTTACATAGTCAAGACTGAAACTATGAGCAATCAATGTTTATTATTTTGATATGTATAAAATACTATGCCATTAAACCTGTTATGAATGTCGTCCAGTATTAAAGATGATAAAAACTGTATACAGTTGAAAAATGTCTGTGATTTTTATGATGTTGCTGGAATCTCAGCTTCTGTTAGGTGACCCGCTTAATTAGGCTCAGAAGAGAATATTTTTGAAGTTATACTTCTTTAGGCGCGTTATGAAAAATTTATGAGAGTGAAATTTTACGATGCGCGCGCACCTGTGACACAAAATTAGGAGTGTGATTATAGCGTGCGCGAGCGAGATAGGAATAAGACAATCTACAAGTAAAAAGAAATAGAATATGCGTGAAGTTCGTATGCCAAGAATTTTGAATGACCATAATGACATTTGTCATTTACCTTTTAAACAAATAAAGGAGTTTTAATTATTTTTTCAAAGAAATTTAGCAATGCTTTTTGAATTATATATAATCAGAAGTGATTTAAATTGAATATTTAAACCAATACTAATTAATATTTGTGAAAAAACTGTGCTCATCAACCTTCCTAAGTGCTTCATTACAATTGAGGTTAACTATCAGTTTGTATTATTATTATCGAGTAATGTTTTGATTAAAAAAATTACCACATTGTTTAATCAAAACATGTAATTTTTCTCTAGCAAATATAAGGACAAGAGACAAAAAACAATTGATGAATCAGTGTAAGTGCACTAAATTGAATACAAAAAAAGAGTTGTCATCTTATCGCTGTGAAACATCAAAAACTGGAGGTGGAACAAAGCCAAACTATTTTTAATAATGCCAAAGAAGTATAACTTCTTACGCGCGTACATAAGTACACGCACCCTTTTTTGTTTTTTAAAGTTTACTAATTATTAAAGTAATTATGATTTTATCAACTCAAACAGTTATTAGATTTAGTAGAAGTTAAAGATACGAGAATATATTTCATTATCATATATACATCTTAATATTGGTTTTTTTCTCATTTTTTTCTGCTTTTTTGTCTTAATTAAAATTAAGATTTTATTGTTTTTATTATAAATTAGGTTGGACTTCACAAATCTTTTTGATGTGAAACATCTATAGCCGCACGTAAAACCGATTTCTGGCGTGGCGACGCATGCCGTGGCGACGCGTCGCCCCTCTATATGATGGTATATATTACTGAGTCTATATGCAGCAGTGTGTACGGTGTGTGTATTTCAAAGTCACTCGAAAGACAGTCGAATTAAGTAGTCACGATTTGAAATAAATTCGTAAATTTTTGTATTTAATGAAAATAAATGTTTATTCAATAAATATAGTCATCGTTATCTGGAAAAAAAATGGTAATATTTTATTTTATCATTATGACATATTTAGTTCCTATCAAAATCTGTTCTTTTCTGCATATTACTTTTACAAAATAATGTCGATGTTTGACATCTGCCAGGCGTCCCGTGACGGCTCACATTTTTCTTTTTTTACTGTTTTCTTTAATTAGGGTTGCCTGGAAGGGATAAGGCCGCCCGCTGCACCATTTAAGTTTATTGTTAATTTAAAGAAAACACTTTTTACCGGATTGAAGTTATGTATTATTATAAATTTACAATTATTTTACATAATTTTAAATTTTGTATAATAATTGTAAATTTATAATAATAACTTCAATCCGGTAAAAAAGTGTTTTTTTTATTGTTAATGTTATTATATATTTGTCAACAAAAAGTGTGAATAACAAATCCCCATAACAATACATGTTGAAAAGTACTTATATGTATTATGAAAATCTTTTTAAGGTCAATCAAAATGGCCTACTTGTACTGGTTATTCAAAGCGCAGTTTTCCTATGATAGGTATCTAAAGATAAACCTTCAAGAACGGGGCTGTATTACACACGGTAAGGGATGAAAAGGGAGGGTTAGTTTTTACGACGAAAGCACTCTTTTCTTTCGTACTTGCTACGGGGAAAATATTTTCACATAGAACGCGGCCATTTTTGTAAGGGAAGCGTTTGATTTTATTTCAAAATTTTTACACTAAAGCACATCTATGAATACTTATATTAAATTGATTAAGTTTAACCAAAATTTTAGTACTAAATAAATAAATTTCACGATTAAAGTATGTACCAAAATAATAAATAAATATTTGGCGTTGATTTTCAAGTTTCATAATACGTTCTCTTGAAATTTAATTGTAAAGTTTATAATCGTGAACAATAAATATGCTGCTAGGGTGTTCCACTTAATTCTTCATTTTAAATCAATTAAATTCAATATTTCTTAAAGTAGTACACATGGTTTTAAATAACAAAATATACTAATTAAACTTCATATAATTATGCAAAATATCTTGAATGCATCGTATTATAATGTACCTACTAGCATAGACGTTGTCCTATAGATACACAATTAAAAATCATCTAATTGTAATTCTAAACTATTCGTATTACATACTTAAGACTTCTTTACTTTTATTATTACTATTACATTATTATTTTTTTTCGCAAACTAACTGTTGTGGTCTCTGGCAGGATGACCAGCGCAACACACACATTACACACTTAAAATGTACCTATTTCCTTTTTTTTTTCATTTTTTTTTGTTACTTTTCTTTTTTGATTATTGCTTTTTGTATGTTTCTATGTGTTTGTTTCGTTAGTAATAAATATTATGTCTGTCTGTTAGTCTAGGAAGTTTTGCCTAGTAACAAACACGCACACGCACAATTGATAGCTTAGAATAATAAAAAAATATTGAAATACACTCCTAACTAAAGTTAATGGGTGTTTTAAATTAAAAGCTCTCAATAAAAGTTTCTTTCTAATTCAGTAGCAGATGTAAGGTGGTAAGGTAGTCGTAAATTACGTGGAGCTTCATATAAATTAGCGCCTGTCGGGTCTCTACTCGTATTGTGAAATGCGAACATTTCAACAACTTTAGCCGATAAACCGGTATAGTTTAATTCTTAGAATTACTATTTAATAATTGTTATAAATGTGGAAAAAACTACGTGGATAGTAGAGTATAGTTCAGGGTCAAGATGGTAATGTGTATATGTGGGAATATATTATTATAATAAATATTCAATAATGTTTGAACCCAACATGGAGTTCGATTGTACGCGCCATGCGTTCTCTATTGTTTTAATAGGTTTTTCTATAGCTACCTAGATAGCAGTGTATAGTTAGGGGTCAATGTAGTAATATGTATAGGATTATATGTTTTAATAGGTTGTACTATACGTCAACGTAACGTTGTTTCATTAAACAATTTTTGTAATTTTATTAGCAGCGGCTCTCGGAATGACAAACCACATTCACTGTCAAGGCAATATATCTGTCCTCAGTTTCTTAAAATATCTCCATTCATAGACCCAGTGTCGGTTGACAGGCGTAAACTCCTAACTCGCAATATTGTGACATAAGGTGTTTAACATAAATAATGCGGGAACAGATGTGCGACGCCGCGGGCTCTACAAATACGTTCGGTAACGCCAGATTTTGGATTATACAGAGCTGTTACCTCCTCTGTCGTCTCACATTAAAGCCTCGTTGTTAATCAGTTTTTGTTAAGTTGTAACAGCTCTCGGAATATCTCATTGTCTGTTGGCACAACAATATTCGCGTGGCTGTAGCCGCGGGCCATGTAAAATATTTCTACTGAAGCATTCATCGTGATCGCCTATCGTACGCTCAATACGCATCGGCCACCCTCCTCGACCCTATCTCGACCGTATAAAGCTCATTTTTCCTTGAACAATAAATTGCACAAATCAGCTTTATGTAATACGATATGCCACTCTAGAAAATAATGACCTTCAAAGATTTTGCTTGGGTTGGAAAAAAGTGTGAACTTCACAAAAAGTAAGAAGGGCGGAAGGTACAAATTTCGATCATAAGAAACAAATTACAGCTAATAGTTTGGTTTAAAAAAAGCAACAAAAACAGAGTGAAGTGGAAACGGCTTGTTACATTTATTTAATTACTACAAGGTTTTGGTATTAAGAAACGCTTCTGTTTGTTTCAGATTTTTTCTAAAGTTCTTCTTGAAATGCAATCAGAACTGTTTAAAGAATGCTGGCAATCCTCGGGATATGAGAAGATTTCAGGTAAAGTGCACACATTTTAATTTAACTATACGTCTACCCCAGAATGGGGGTTAAGCTATAGCCCGAAGCTCGGTTTCGCAGGGAACCTAACCCATGACCTCCAAGTTAAGTAAAAAGCAAGCTTTTATCATAGCTATGAAATACCTATAAAATAATTGTCAAAACCACTTCTTACGAAATTTTTATTTTGTACAATCTTTCCGCTGTCAAGTATAACGTTCGTTTCTTAGAACCTACGGTTTGAACAAAGAAATTTCTGTATTTACTAGAGAAAGGAAAAATTACTGTGTTTCACAAGTCTATCTCTATCGCTTATAGGGAAGGGTACAAGTCAAATACTTTCTTCTATAACCGCTGAATAAACTTCATTTTATATTTTCCTTGTACTATTTATTAAACAGCAGACGGCAAAAAGACATCAATTTAAGAGTAAAATATAAATGTCTAAATCACTGAACCAGAGCAGCCTAGTGGCTTCATCGTACGTCGATCTCATCCCTGAGGTCGTAGGTTCGATACCCAGCTGTGCACCAGTGGACTTTCTATCTATGTGCACATTTAACATTCGCTTGAACGGTGAAGGAAAACATCGTGAGGAAACCTTAGCCTTAGACCAAAAAGGTCGACGGCGTGTGTCGGGCACAGGAGACTGATCACCTACTTGCTTATTGACAAATCATCGTGAAACAGATTCAAAAATCTGAAGCCCAGATCTAAAAAGGTTGTAGCGCCAGTGCTTTATTTATTTTATCACTGAAGCTAATTGATAACACAGGTTGGAAGTATTTACTTAAGTGTATATACATTATACAGAGAAGGAAAATGTTTTTTTATTCCAATTATATAACTTTGTAAATAACGGTCTTTATTTATTTTTATTATATAAAGAGATGGGCAGAAGAAAAACGTAATATGTATAGGAGTTTTTACCTAATAATTGAGCAGGCATGAATAAATAAATCCGGCTTTTAATTCACATTGATCACTTCTTTTTTGTATACCTATATATTAACACTACATGTGTTACTCAAGGCGTTATGAATTACAATCTATTAGACTAACTTAAAAGTACAGTTATTCGTTTTTCTTAAAATAAATAAAAGCTTGCGGCATACAGTAACAGTATCGCCCTCAAGTGAAGGAAGGGTTGCGTTCATGACTCTTGAATATTTGAAGCGCCTCCAATTTAGCCGAGGGATGAAATTAAATTTATTTATTCGAGTTTATCTATTTACTTAAATTGTACTGATTTGTTCTAGTTAAGATTTGTTTGAATTTGATAAAATTAATTCTCAACTTGTAAAATTCTATTAAGTGGGTGAACGCTAGCGTTTAATTTTATCAATATATTATTTCCCCATTAGAAAGATTTTATATCTACATGTGTAAAGTAGGCTCTATTTCCAATGTATTAAATAAATATATGTTCAGCTTTTATTTTAATGTGCAGGTATTTTTTTAAACCAGCCAAGTCACTTGTTTTCAATTTGTCATAGCAATATAAATTTTCGATGGCACCTCGTGATAAGTGATAAAATTAAAACTTAAAAATCTTTTAAATAAACGAATTCAATAATATTTAAGACCGTGCTAATTTAGTTACGTTTTCTTGCAACAAATTAGAAATATAATGATCAATTAATAATAATAATAACAACTAATATAGTAACTAGTACAAAGAACTTATTTATATAATAATTACACCATTAACTTTCTTGTTTAAAACTTTAACAGCCATATAAAGTAATTAATGTCACCCCTAACGCTGCGGTAAAGGTGCATTCACTCTACTTATGAGTACAAATTTGCTTCCACAGTTCCCAAGACATATTTGTCTTACGTGTCCTCTGCGAACTTTAAACAAATATAGAACTTAATACAACTAATATTAAGCGTACATTTCGATACGTCGATGTAGCTATGTCTATATTTGGACTTTCCGTGTGTCATTGAATTATTCAGTGGTCGTTCCCCACGTTTCAAGGGTAAGAATCTTTAGTGGTATAGCTATTAATAGGAATGTTAAATACCTAGGAAATTGCTACATAGTTTTAAATTATATATCGATAAAGAATAATTCATTCACTAAAAGCATATATTTAAATATGTACTAAACATTTGGTTAGCGACGAAGTTCAAGATCACACAAATATAGTTACAAAAATAACCTCGTATACGTTACACACACATACACAACAGAAAGGGAGAGTCCCTAGGGAGGTGGGGCCAATGTCTCGACTTGAGGAAATGGTCGAACGATTGCGTAGGTATGCAAGGAAGTGCAATTTGCACTCTTATTTGGCCTTCCGATTGCCGGGTGGTCCCTGAGATGGTTTAGACTTACCTGATTTGAATATGATTATATTGGTACAAGATGAAATTATGAAAAATAGGATTTAATTATAATCAATCGCTAGTTTGAATTAAGGTCTTCAAAGGACTTGATTTAACAAATTCATTTTTTAGGTTATTTCATCAGGAATCGTAAAAAGAGTAATAATAATAATAATAATAATAATAATAAAAACTTTATTGATGACAGAAAGGTTTGTGACAGAAATCATAAATCGCTAGTCCCCACACTAGGGAGGCCCTGTGTTGTGGGTAACTAGAAAACAATTGTTTCGTGGTACATGTTAAAATTAGTTTAAAAATGTGATATGAAAAAATGATAATAAAAAATAAAAAATACCAATAATAGTTATAAATTTAGTGTTACGTATGAAGTGAATGAGTGAGTGTGTGAATAGGTGAGTTTGCGCATGTATTTGAGAATGTAGCTGAAAGTTGTTATGATCGTGCACGGTGTCTGTGTTTATGAAACCTCAAAGTCATACCAAGATATGTAGTAATGCCTCTGTGGATTCGAAATCCAATTTGGCTAGTGTAGTTTCTATGTGACTTGCTAATTTATATCTGGATAGTTTTACGATCTCAGAGTCCATAGATTTGGAGATTTTGTTATAAAGGAAGGGGCCCCTAAATGCAAAGGAGCGTTGTCCAAATACAGTCCAATATTTGTGATTGTTTACAAAGCCAGACTATAATTAATTCTACATACATAATAATAAGATTTTTTTTCTTAAAAAGTCTAATAAATAATTTGAAAATTCAAAATTTCAAATAGTAAATACTACATGCATCAAATATTACACCCAGAGTCTTCAATTAAATCATTCCGTATATCTATTTATTTCGAACGGGAATTCTTCGGTACGAAAATGTTGCTATTACATATTAAGCGATCGAAAACATTAAAGGTTGAAGTAACTGCTAATAAACCTCTATATACTATTGAGGCACAATTATTTAAAGCTAATTCTGTTACAGGTGGTGATATCAACACAGGTGATGGTAGACGGCCCGCTATTAGCAATATCAGATAATATGTTTGTTCATAATAACAGCAAACATGGCCGCCGAGCGAAACGGCTAGACCCTACAGAAGGTACAGAAGCTGCAATCGAACCTACTTGTACGTTCTCTTTTGTTTTTATTATTTCTATTGATTTTTATAGATTTTTCTCATATTTCTTTTTATTTATCCGAACATTTTCGTACAAAAAATACCTATTTATGCACACGTTTTAGTATTAGCGTCTTTATAACCTCTATAAATTAAATATTAATTAACTGCAGACGTATTATGCGAGCATGTGTTAAATGAACCTGGATTTTGTCCGAGTCGAAGTGGCGACACTGCGTCTGGTACAAAATTCGACTAAAGATAGCGTTTGAGGTAGAAAAAAATTATTGACTTCGAGATATATTCTTTGAATAGTATCCCATAATTGTTTTCCCTTCCCATCCCTTTTTTCTGTCAAATTGTGTTAACTCTGTTGAAATTAACGAAAGTTTTAGATAAAACACTTATTTAGTTTATTTTTATATAAAACAGTGCGTAATTAATAACAATACACTCGAAGTGAGTAAAGTGAACAATAAAACGGGTAAGATAATGTGTAAAGTCGTAATACAGCTTTGAGAATGTCGTTTGTATGCGGAGAATCAGTGTAGACATTTCGCAAGCAACTTTGACCGAGGGTGGCTGGGAGGCGTTGGAGGCATGAAGAGAAAAGGGATAATTTCCTCATGAATTGTTCCACGCGAAAAATTCGAATTATCGCTCTTTGGTATCGGAAAAATCATTTGATGTAAGAAATTCAGCTTGCGATATGGAATTGGTACGAATATTAGTATTTTCTCAACTACATAGACTCTTTTGAAGACAGTTGATTGAAGGTTAATAGTTTATAGATAAATAATTCTGCTTCTGTTTTGTTAATTTTAAAAAGCAGGTTCGTACGTCCTTCCGTATCTACCATACAAAGATGATTACGATTCGGGATATATAGCCACGCGTTACTGTGGCTATGTATAAAAAGCACAACGAGCCGTAATTCTTTATATTGAAACCACATTTATCAGACAATTTTTTTTGTTTTGATAATTCTATGAAAATATCTCCGTCCCGTAGCAATTACGATTCTTATTTTGGAAACCGAACCAGAGGTCGACTCTCTATTTCAGAAATATAATGAAGTTAATTTAATACTCAAAGCCAGCTTATTGAATATTAAAAATTAAAATTTCTTCCAGAAAAATCTTTACCTACTCAAATTAATAAAGAACCGCCGCCGGTGTAATCTCCTTTCGTCCCCTTAAATTCACTTTCTCTTGCCTTTATTACCGCGTCGTTTTGTTTGTAAGATTTCAGGACGAGGGCCCTTGTCTTACAGTGCGTGTCCCCCTCACTACAAAGTTTAATAAAGTCTTAACCACCTTTTCACGTTATCAACTCTATATCGTTTCATTAAAATCCATTTTCACAAAACATAGTTCATTCTAGCGATGGTATCTTAGTTTCGATTGTGTTTCTTCAGAAAGAACGGAAGAGTTTTAACTAGCGTTTATTCAACTCGTGATCTATGGTATACGGCTTATAAAGTACCGTAATTGTATCAAGTTATAGTATTGTAAAATATAAAAGAAATGTTAATCCACATGAACCGTGGCAGAAAAAACACAAACAATCTAGAACCAGTTTCATTACTATACTTTGCGTCTGACTAAAACGTGACTTGTGACAATTATAATTTCTTAAGAGCGCGCATTAGGCAAGCAAAATTCTTGATTTCACCCGCGTCTCTCCTCATCAGGTGACTAGTGAAACAAACGTATGCCTGTAGTTCAAATGAAGTTTAAATGCGTTTATTTAAATAACTCGTAAAATATACAATATTTAATAAAATCGCTAGTAACAGCTCTCGGCCTAACTAATGTGCTGTAATTCAATTATTTATAGGCTCCATAATACTCGCCATGATTGAATAAAATTGAATTTAGGTAAAGGTTAGAGGTGACTTTGTTATTTTTAATATTGTTTTGTGTAGAGTCAACCATTGAAGTTATTGTAAAGGATCAATGCATATTTATTGTTTTTAATTCAAGAATCACATACCTAAATAAATTCAAATCTACGATGAGTGATTTTGATTAGTGCCCGGTCTTAAGTCTTACCATATCTTGTAAAATAATTTGACCTGAAAGATACCAAGGAAACGAATTTAAAATAAAATACTCTCTTCCTAGCGGGCTTATATCCACCGTTGCCAGTAGCAACGCCATGCATCAAAGCAATATCTCCAAGTGAAGGATGGACATCGGGAGGTTCGACCGTTATCATAGTGGGCGACAATTTCTTCGATGGCCTTCAAGTAGTATTTGGCACTATGCTGGTGTGGAGTGAGGTAATATACTATTAGGTTTATTTTAGTAAGATTTATTCTAAAGCTCGGTTTAATTAAGTAAAAATTAAAAAGTATTAATTCGTTAAATGTATTAAAAAAAATATGGATTTTTTTCCTTTCGTAAACGTTTGCACCTTTTTGTATTATGTATTCCATCTTTCTGTATAATTTTTTATCTTTAATCTATATTTTTAGTATATATTTTTTTTGTTATATGTAACTTATGTTAGCTGTAGGATTATGAAATAAATAAAATAAAAAAAATATATTTGGAAAATTTCTTGCGCCTTTTTGTGGTTCATTCTCGCCCACTTTTAATTTTCTTTCTTTATGTTTATTTTAAATCCTGGATTATTAAATATAAAACATTGATCAATACCAAAAACCTCTATCTACTATACCGACATAAAACAGGGCAGGGCTAGAATTGCCTACAAGAAATAGCTTCATAGCAATAAAGCCACCATGAAATTGGCTAAATGAAATGAAATGAAATTCTTGTATGTTCAACGTATATTTTATAAATTGCAACTACCGAATTATTATAATTTTACAGTTATAATTTAAACTGTAGTAAAATGCATTACTAACATAAGAACTTAATTTGGCATACAAAATTATATTTTATTATTTTAGTCTTCTGGCCTATTTATTTATTGTTATAATATTAATATTTTCTACAGTTGATAACATCACATGCAATACGAGTTCAGACACCGCCGAGACATATCCCAGGTGTTGTAGAAGTAACGCTCTCCTATAAGAGTAAACAGTTCTGCAAAGGTGCACCTGGAAGATTCGTTTATGTTTGTGAGTATATTTTGTCATTTTTGATATTCAATACAAATATTTATGGTAATTTCAGTAGTTTATTGTTAATGAATCCCTGTTGATTTGAATTATAGAAAAAAATCTTTAAATACTAATCATATCAAGGTAGCTAATTCTTGGGTCCTATTATTATTTCGATTTGATTTTGCTTATAATTTGAACCTGGACAAATTTTCAGCCGTATCGTATAAGTGTCTTACAATAGTTAGTTGTTATATATTAGATCAAAATTTGTCAAGTTGAGTTGAAATAATTTAAATAAGTTTTGGTAAAGAATGTGTGGACTGTGGAGAGATAATTTGCAGCAGAGTATTTCTCACTTAGAATACGGCATTAGTTCGATGGTCTCTTGTAAAAGAGTCATATTTAGCACTAATTTTTGACTGTGAGTGACCCTTAGTCACTGTTTTAGAATATCTTTTGCAAATTTCACTTATGTATAACATTTTTGTACTTAAAATAAAAAACAAAATCAGTGACGCACTCTTTTAAGGTCTGGGCCTCAGATTTCTGTATCTGTTTCACGATCAGTCAATCTAATAGGCAAGTGGGTGATCTGCCTCCTGCGCCTGACACACGTTGATTTTTTAGGTTTAAAGCAATCCGGTTTAATCACAATGTTTCCCTTCACCGTTTGAGTCAATGTTAAATGCGCACATAGAAAGAAAGTCCATTAGTGCACAGCCGAGGATCGAACCTACGACCTCAGGGATGAGAGTCGCACGCTGAAGCCATAACACTGCTGCATTTTTTGTACATAGTGAATATTATTTATACTTAATATTATTAAGAGGATTTTTTTTAAATATTTGAAACGACTTAACTAAAAAATACTAGACCGATGATGTGATAAATTATCCCTAAGTAAAATAGGCTATATTTATATACAACATATTTGAAAAAATGTTAAGCCTTGCGAAGCAGGTCGCTTTTATATGAATGTCCAAAATGTAGACCCCAATTCGTTGTTAATGTGATCCATCAATTAGGATTTCATTCGTTAGTGGAGCGACTAATGATTGATTTTGTTTTCTTTCGCATAGCAGCACTCAACGAGCCCACGATAGATTACGGATTTCAGAGGCTTCAGAAACTTATACCGAGACATCCCGGCGATCCCGAGAAACTGCCAAAGGTTCGTGCTGAAATCAAATACATCATTATACTTTTGTTATTAATTTTGATTTAAGTACTGTTTTCGTCTAATATGTAGGTATATATTGTAACTTTGCAAAATAAATTAATAATAATTTATTTGCAAGAATATGGTACAAAAATTTTATAGTGGTGGAATCTAAAGTTCGCATATTCTGCTACACATAATGGCGTGCAAATTTGTCGTAAAAGGTAGAATAGAAGTTACAATTAAATTACGAGTCATATTTTTTATCACTACATCATCACATTATTGAAATATGTTACATTATCAAATTAATAATTAATATTAATTATAATGTTTACCGCAAGTAATCATTAATGGAATAATATTTTTTTTATAAAAGTAGTACATTAAGTCGAGGTTTGAAAACTCTAGTAGGAAGATCTTTTAATATTTTTGGTAAATTATTATATAAACCTTGATTGCCATTAAAAAGGTGATTTTCCTATACAGATATGTGTTAGTAATAATATATGTTAAACTATATTATTAAGACGAGAGATTAAGACTCTATACTTCAAAATTTTAAACATATAGTATATGTATAATATATATTATATAGATATCGTTACATCTGAGATTGTATATCTTAATTTTTTTAAATTGGTGTGTGTGTTTCTACATCTCTTCTGTTTTTTGCCTCCTGTTATACTATTTCTTTTTACACAATTAGTTTATAAGCTATCGTATAATTGTCTGTAATTAAATATTGTTATATTTTTATTGAGAAATTAATTAAGTGACATTTTACAGGAAATAATTCTAAAACGGGCAGCGGACTTAGCAGAGGCATTGTATTCGATGCCCCGAAATAACCAATTAGGTCTGGGTGCGCCCAGGTCACCTCCTGCCAGTATGCCTTTCAACTCCTATACTGGGCAATTAGCTGTCAGTGTTCAGGATTCCGCTGCTTCACAGTGGACAGACGGTAAGTTAATACGGACATTTTTTCAGGAAAAATAATACCTAAGCTTCATAGGAATTCATGTAATTCGAATATTGCACCCAAAATTTGATTTCTTAGTTTAGAATCAAGTTTCTAATTTGTAAATAATTAATTTTGATAGATTTGAGGACAATAATTAAATTTCGGATCCCATATGTATCCCATTACTTTAACCATATATATTTTGAGTGCAATATTTAATAAATCACTAATAATAATAATAATCTTTATTTATTTTCTCACAAAAACTTCATTCATAGAGCATAAAATAAAGCAACAGTTATTTATTATTATAAATAATGTTCTTCTATTGAAGGAAATGCTTGTTTGTGAGTGACTGACAGGTCATCACGCCCCCATCACTTAGGGGCTATGTAGCTTAGTATGTTATAATTTGACCTTCAAGATAGTGAATATATGTTTAACTTCGTGTATGTGTATTTACTTTATAATACGTAGATTAAAGTCTCATTAACCAAATATAAAGGGTCAATTGAAACAAATGAATTGGACTCCGATGGCATTTGTTTTTGACTATGTTTATAAAATTATAGTTCCGGCGCAGCTCACGCTTAACCATTACCCAGCACAAGTTACAAGTATTTCTTCGGATAGAATTCCCTAACGGGAATGTTGTTGATGTTCAGGCTTTTTATTCTAGAGGAGTACGCGCGTAGTGGTGGCGGCTCCGTGTCTCCTCGGTACTGCTCGGCCGCGTCCACTCCGCACGCCTCTTACCCCCATCCACAGCATTACCCGGCACCGACCTCCATCTTCAACACCACTTCACGTGAGTCTATTTTATTACCAAATAGAATGAGATTTTTTTTGCTTGTTTCTTTTGTTACCGATTTATTAATAGCCAATGATTTTTAAATATGTTTATTAAACTAACATAGTCGTAGACACCAACATCTTTACTTTTTTTTAAATTTGTTGCAAAAAAATTCAATATCAGTAAATTTTTATTTTCAATTCCACTTCGTAAGCATCTTAGTAACAAATTAAATTTTTGGTTTAAAAGATCAAATATAATGTAGAGGTCATATATAAAGTAGAAAATTTGAGTTAAAAGATGTGTATAATTTATTATACTTTAATTTTATATACGATTTGCGTAAAATATTTCTTTAAAGCTTTCGTTACCTAAATCGTACTATAAAAATGGTTTCGAAAAAGTTGTATGACCGCTATAATCGTTGTATCACTCTCGAAGTTAACTGTATGGAATAAATATTAAATTCTATTAAAAAAAAACAAATTTTCTGTTAGCTTACGAACTTTCCAGTCCACCTAATAATCTTTACACAAAACACCTTACGCTTCGCTTTTTCGTTAACCTATATCTGTTCCGTCAGTGTCTCTGGGGCCATATCATCCGGCGAATATGAATGGACACTTAACTGACCAGTATAACACGTACCCAAAAGATAGCGATTACATTGAAAGAAACGTGGAGTCTAAAGATGACTGTCCCGCAAACACTCATACAAAATGCGATGCTATGAAAGGGCAAGCAAAAGAAAAGAGAAGCGCATTCGCGGTCGTAAGACAAAGTCCGCCGCATTTTCAACAAAATTGGCAACATCTCACCGTGCAGTGTTAGTAGATCCGCTTTTTTATTTGCATTTTGCTTTTTGTTAAATTTATTTTGCACGTTCCAGTACCGTATAAGCACAAACAAGTAATGAATTTTTCCTTTAGTTCAAGGTTTCTAATTGTAGTAAAAATTGTTTGTTGCTGTCAAGCTCCTCAATATTTAAGCATTTGTTTTGGGTTCGAGACGAGGTTATGTTTCTGTTTGGATGGCATATAAGGAATTTAAAATGTGTTTGTTCTATTCCACTAAAGTGTTATAAACTTTTCTTGTCAATGATAATTTCAATCACAAAGCTATGGTTGTTTAAGGGTGTGTGTGATGTTAAACGTGTGATGCTTATATTAATAAAGATATTACTGCCTCAGGAGTTATGACCTTGTAATCTTGGGTTCATTCCTCGCTTAACAATAATTGTTACGGTATAGATGGCACTCATCACTACGTTTATTCTATCTATAAAATATTGATGATGATGATTTTGCGGGACCACAAAAATAAAAAGCTTTACTGTCCCCAGGAATGGGAGGTCTTGTATCATCACCGTTCAGCGTGAATCCTTTCTCTCTACCAACGTGCAGCGCCCAACAATATGCGCAGACAGCTCCACTTGCATCTAAGTAATACTTGAATTAACTATAAACCTTAAATAGCTATATAATGTTTTGTTAATACAGCTTGAAAGTAATATTTTAATAATATTGCTTTAGTCGGGTTAAAAAAGCTATTTCAGGCTTTTAGTATATTTGTTATTTAGTATTTTAATTTATCCAAAGTTATTTTTAACGTTATTGTAGTATACGTTTTGACATTAAATTTTATATATACTCTTTATTTAGTGCTAATTAAGATGTACACAAACTAATAATTTAATATAAAAATTTCAGAATCATTCATTAAATTATCTAAATTAATTATTTCTAACTTTGCCTGCTTCTTGTGCAACTCTGCAATTAAATTTAATGACAGATTATATAACACGAATAGCGCATTGAAATATAATATTTGAATTTGATGGTTTAGAAAAGTAAACACAAGTCAAAAGCAAAAGTGCTTTTTAAGCTTTAGGTAGTTCTTAGTGAACGATTTTCAGTTGTTTTAATAAATTTCTGCTAAATGTTATACATCAAAATTAGCACAATTTTTCTATAGACATTGGTAATCTTATTTGTAGTATTGCTCAATATGACCGTATAATGTACATATTGTAAATAAATGTATCAGCTCACTAATAAAATTCAATTTCATTTCCGTTAATTTCCCTCAATTTCTTTTGTAAAATCTGTGATAAATTTATTGTAAGTACTTTGTATATTTTATTTAAATCACGCTAATCTAATAAGTGTACATACATGAATATAAATCATATCTTGAAACAAAACATATCCTAGTGAAATCGTTTCTATGGGGATTTCTTACAACGAAAAAGAAAATAAATTATTCCCTTAGAAGCTACGAAATGTATACGAAATAAAATGACTCCGTTTACCGAACTTCAGAATCGAACGAAATCAATTTGTGGAAACGAAATATAGTAATAAGACTTGTACATTGTAATCGTTCAAAGTGACATTAAAATACATATTATACTAATATTTGTTTTATTTATTTTAGATCTTAGAAATTTCTCCCTATTTTTTTTTAGAACAAAGGGCAGTTTGCTCACAATGATACCACTACGATACTCACAATTTCAGATGCCTTTTAAGCCCTGGTATGCTTCAAGGACCTGAGCCCTGATTTGAACTTTCAATAGACTACCGACGGAAATCCCATGAATGAGTTTTTGTACCGCGCGATTTTAGTTGTAACATCAGAGCTACGGATATTGAGAAAACAACATCCAACTTGCATACAAAAACAACGGTATTGCTGTCGCTATCAGAAGTACCTGAGCGCTCTGTCGGGACCAGAAGTCTAATTAATTCCATAAGCAATCCGCGCACTCATAATACTATACAACTATGTATATAATATAATACTGAAATCTTCGTTTATCTGGTCATAATATTACACACTGGATGCGTCCATCCATCATTTTTAACATGAACAAAAACATCTCAAATAGTTTAAAGCATTGTGATTTCACACATGCTACCGTTGGCACCCCACTTGTAATATTATACTAACAATTTTTGTCCTCGAAGGGTAATAATTTCTATTGTTATTCTTGACTAGATAATGCATGGGTTTATCGCTGCTCCTAATTGTGTCAGTGAAGAATGGGGATTGTATTACTTCGGAATTAACATTAAAATAGACTTTATTGTCGTTTCTAAACTAATTATGATTTTTTCGATTGAGTAGTGTTCGCCGTATGGTCATGTTTTATTAAACTTTAGAGATCATTTTGATGTTAGACTACTGACTAATAAAGTTCATTACTATAAAGATAGATTTAAAGTAGTTTAATATACCTTCAATTATTTATTTGCAAAAAGCTTTTGAATCAAGAAGTTCCTGGGTAAGAAAGGATATTGTTAATGTTAGTGCAATATTTTTATTTATATTTCTGGCGCATCAACTAGCCCTAAGGCCGCATAGCATCGGCTTTGGTATTCTTAAAAAGGCAACAAACAATATCTGAGCGGTCTTCTCACCAACAGAGAACCCGATCCAAATAATGAGTTTTGGTTCCACGTGATCCAAACATCAGCGCTATGGATATTAAGAGAACAACATCAAACTTGCATACATAAACAAGAGTATTGATGTTGCTATTAGAAGTACCAGAATACGGGCTCTGATGTCGGGACCAGAAGTCATATTGGTTCCATACGCAATCCAAACACCGGTCACAATGTTTACAAACTGTTCATCCAACTTTTTCATATTAAACAATATACGAACAAATCCTTCTTAGGATAAGTTATTTGTTTTAAATTTTTTATTTTTTCTCGATAAATAATTAAAAAGCTTCATTAATTAATATCTCGATTAAACCAAGACTTTTTGAATTAAAAAAATCGTGCCTTGAAATCGAGTTAGAAGATTAACGAAAAGATACAAATTGTGTAACTCAATTACGGTACAATAATCGAAATGTTTAGTGGCGGCAGTTTGTCGACGCGTGCGGTGCACGTGCCTGCGCACGCGGCGTTCAAGCCTCTCCGTTGAGTGACATAATTTGAAATTCGAGCTTTGAAAAATATTTAGTGATATCCGATATGTATCGAAATATTTATAATAATAATGATTGTTTGCTTTAAACATAGAATAGTTAGACAATGTAATATATAAGGAAAAAAATAATTAGAGGTAATTTTGATAATTTACTTTTGTTCTATATTTTTTATATATTATTAATTCTTAACAATATAAAGCTAAGTTTAATATATACACATAAGTTAATTCTACTGTATACAAGCGCAAAGTTAAGTAAATAGTTATTCATCAGTGTGTTTTTTTATATAACATGGGGCAACCGTCAGGAGGCTCACCTGATATTAAGTGATACCGCCATGGACACTCATCAGAGGGCTCGTTAGTGCGTTGCCGGCCTTTTAAGAATTGGTAGATACGCTCTTGAATGACTCTACGTCGAATTGGTTCGGAATTACTACAGTGGGTCGCTCGATCCACATATAATGTGTGTGTTGTCTGTATATAATTTTTATAATAGTAATGATGAATTCAGTATATAGACAATTATTGGATAATTTAATAAAATCTTAATAAAAATATTACATTACATCGTGTGTCGTAAAATTTTAATACGTCGTACAAAACTATCAAATAAGCTAAGTGAACAAATTGTCCTGATGCATCCTGTCAATCTGTCGCGTGTCGGTCGCAGGTCACGTGACCGACGCATTACTAAATTAGCGCTCGGTGTGCACGCACCCTTAATCGCATTTCGGTACACCGAGTCAGGTTTCCATTTGTATATCCAAACGAACTACTGACAATAATACTATAAGGTTCTACATGCAATTACGCAAAACATTTACAATTGTTCTAGAACCTCAGAGAATCTTTGGTAAGAAAAACCTCACCTCCTATACCTTTTACAGAACTTTTGAACAGTTTTCTCAAATTTCAGTACACCAAAAAACTATTCCGATTTAAACTGAAACCAACGAAAAATATAGTAAACGCAGAAACAAAATAAAACCCCATCACGACACGACAAATTGATGTCATCCATCCCTCTCTAGCTAACAGTCGCAACACATCACTCCGCGCACGTCCTCGGCATTTTTCCTTTATATATTATTAATACATAAGTACAGCGATGCACCGTTTCCGCCCGTCAGTCGCGTGTAAGCCTGTCCTTTTCTATATTGTAGGGTCTAGTTTTCCCAAGCGGCGGAACCTCGAGGGTAAAACTCCCTTGGGTCGGTATTGACTCTAGGAAGGAAAGTTATCAGTACACCTATTGTCGGCCTCCCCACCCACCCCAGAGGACTTTCTTACGCGTTTTACGTTTTGTTTTATTGCGAGTACTTTCCACCGCTCTTATTAGGTTAGTTGGTGTTTTGATAGCGACACTTGTTGATTATGGCGAAGCGTTTAATTGGAAATAAAAGTTCAATAAGTCGTCCCTTTGTGAATTTTATTTAGCCGTTAAACTGCTATTCCCTGTGTATACTATAAATGCGAGCGACATTTTGCTTTGAGATGAGAGCAAGATTTGAGATACCTCCACCACCATACCACCTCAGACTAGGCGTCAGTCTGTTTGATTGTTTCCCTCATTTTTGATAAGTTGGGTTCGCGTTTTTGCCTTTTTGTACATTTACAAAACATTATCACTTTTATTTTTATAACCATGGGTCCGAAGAAAAATATGTGTATTGAATTAAAGAGTGAAATCATTTTCGTATTCAAAAACACTTAACAAAAACAACTGAGGTGGTGTTTTGGGTGCTGGAATGGCAATTCGTTAATTCGTTATTCGTAAGTTTGACATAAAAAACTCGTGTCAAGGATCATAGAAGTCATACTTTTTCGTATACCATACCTAAACCTGCAACGACGTACAGTAGTTTTGTTTTTGATTGCATTCAAATTTGGAACAGACACAGCAAAGTGTATCCAAGTAATGTACAGTTGTTAAGTTATAAAGCGATATCGCGTCGAGCCGTGTCAACGAGCGGCGTTAAGCGAAATTGAGTGAGTGTCGAGTTAAAGTATTAAAAGTTTTCAGCTTGAGATCTTTGTCGAATTCCGACTCCGCCACAAAGTTGCTAGTGATGTGCTTTTGTTTTATCGATGCGTGTACGCCGTGCTAGATAGATTCTTTTGTTTATTTATTCATATCGAGTAACTATTGGTGGATATTTTTTAATGAAATATCTAAATATCTTTACAAGAGTCTATCGTTCAAATTTGATTTTATTACTTTTGCAGTAGACTTTTGCTTTAAGTGCTCAGACGCTAATTAACCCAGACACTCCAGAGCTGGTGCTTTCCTTGCTCAACAAATAAGTATCGCAGTACATCGAGGAAATTCTACCAGCATTAAAGGTACCCTGCCACAAGGACAGAACTTTAAAATGTAATTTAGCGTTTAATTTATTTTTGCACGATATCTTCTAGAACAGGCGAACAAACGTTAATTGCGCAAAAAATTAATTAATTGTTTTTATTTTTTTTTTAAGGATAAAAATTACATCTTGCAC